AAGTGAGAGGAGGGGAACCTACTGGCCTTCCAAGAACGTAAGACTGCCACCATCTACGGGCCCTGCCCTATAGTTGAAAAGTAGTGAAGTCAACCCCATGTGACTCCAATATCCTCATGTTGTGCAGTCTGTCCCTGCACCTATCTATAAAGTCCTGGGCATCCTCATGACGCTCACCCCCGAAGATAGGAGGGTGAAGTCTAGTTCATCTGTCCAATAACTTATGCGGGTCACCGTCCGCAGCTGGTCTGGGCTGGGGCACCACTGCAGCAACTGGCTGGGACCCATCCGTAGGTAGTGCACCCGGAGTCTGATACACTACAGTTGCATGTCCAAGAGCCTGAGCAGTAGGGGTCTGTGCTCCCCCTCCTGCCTGTGATATAGCTGGATCTGCTGAAAATAAACCAGCCTAAGTCATAGAATCCATGAACCGCAGTATACGGCCCATGACCTCCTGGAATCCCAGTGCTGTCATAAAGTCCACTAGGGTGGGCTCAACTGCTGGCACCTCACCCTACTCCTCGATGATAGGATCTCCTACGAGATCTGCTGGTGGTACTACTGGGATAACTCTGGGACGCCCTCGTCCCCTACCTCGGGTCGGTGCCCTCCCCCGGCCTCTGCCTCGGCCTCTAGCAATGGGGGGAGCAGCTCCGCCCAGGACTGGAACATCAGCCGTGCGTGTCCTCACCATCTGTGAGAGAATAGAAGAGGGAAATTTAACATAACAACCACTGCACGATAAGAAATGAATAAAGAGTAGTTTTCCTAACACCCTATAGCCTCTCGAAGATAAATACAGATATTTCTGCACCGATCCGCAAGACTCTATTAGGTTTACCCATGACTTGTGAGACCTACGTGAACCTAGTGCTCTGATACCATGTTGTCACGACCCATTTCTATAATAGCTCATGATGACGCCCAACACCATTGTCGGGCAAGCCAGCGCGGAAAATACTAAATAAGATCTCATTTACTTTTACCCAAAATAGTTGTAATGATTCTTTAAGTTGAAATAAAATCAGAAATGATCAGTAAAGTCAAAACAATAATCATACAATCCCAAAAATAATACAATCTACTAATGTGTGTGCCAAGACCTAGTGTCACAAGTTGTGGGCAACTAGTAGAATATACAAAAGAATCACACTATCCTACTGTCCGAAACAGAATAGACAACAAAAATACATAAGAGAGACTCCTTCAGGCTACTGAACGACATAGGAAGGGAAGCGGCTCACCATAGAAGTCTCAAAATCCGCTCAGGGATGCGCACCAGACTGATAGCCAGATACACCCGCCTCAGATCCTGTACAATTAAGTACAAAAGTGTAGTATGAGTACATAAACAATATGTACCCAGTAAGTATCCCGTCTAATCTCGAAGAAGTAGAGACGAGAGGTCGACTTGATACTTACTAGGGTCAAATAATATGAGAAAGAATCTATAGGAAGAATGGTTAGCACAATTTATTAGCATTGTATGGCAAGGAATAACAATTCTTTTTCCAAATAGTATCATCGGTATCCATTTACATTTCAAGGCATATACGAAGTTCAGTCCACAGAGAAATACTAAGTAAAACATGCGCAAGCAACACCGAGGGACGTACGACCCGATCCAACATAAAAGTAAATTGTGCACTGCCGAGGGTCGAACGGCTCGAACCATAGATGCATCTATTACCCCGCTCGCGAATCACACGTGCGACGCGGTCAAATATAAATAAACTCATCAACAAGCAGACAATAATGTATATTTGAGGAGTAGTTGTTCACAGGAATATTCAAATCCTCTTTAAAAAGACCAAGCAAGATAAGGTTCCTCTACTAGTCTTATTTACCTTAATCAACATAATTTATACGAATCCAAATTTATCATCAAGTTACAGGAATACCACATAGAGCATGCTTTTGGGTCCTAGACTACCCGGACTTAACATAATAGTAGCTACGCACGGACTCTCATCACCTAGTGCATATGTATCCCCCGCATATAATAGCAATTAGTTCAATTATTACACCTATGGGGACAATTCCCTCTTACAAGGTTAGAAAAGAGACTCACCTCGCTCCAAAGTGCACTTCCAATACCAAGAACGAGTCCAAGCCCTCAATTCGGAGTCAAACGATCCCAAATTAGTTAAATAAGGTAGGAACTAGTCAATATAGACTCACAAGATTGAATTCTAGCTATTTAAGCAATTTTCCAACCTTTAACACAAGTTTCCTAAAATCCGACCCTGGGCCCACGTGTCCGGATTCCGAAATTTTTCGAAGGAAGTTTTTCTCTATAACCTAAGGATCAATAATATATGATTTCTAATTCGTTCCATAACAAATTTCGTGGTAAAATCTAAGTTTTATTAAAACCCTAGGTCTAGCTCTAACCCCATGATTTTACCTTAATCCTAGTGTTTAATCTACCTAAAACACAAGTGTTAAACTAAGAATAGGTGGGGTAAGCTTACCTCAAGATGCCAAGTAGAAGCCCTCTTCCAAAATCTCCCAAAATCGCCAATGGAGGAGTAAAAAGTGTCAAAAATGTCTTAGAATCCGTATTAAATGAACCTCACTGCTTCAGCGATTCCCGTATCTGCGGTCAGGGGACCGCATCTGCGAGAAGGGCCTAAAAGGGCTGGGTTCGCTTCTGCGGTCTTGAGGCCGCTTTTGCGGTTTGGCCTGGCCTACCCTAGGCCGCATCTGCGATATATGGACCGCATCTGCGGTCTCGCAACTGCGGTCCACCAACCGCAGGTGCGGTTATGACAGAAGCAGCAACTTCAGCACTTCTCAAAAATTTCAACTTCACTCGAGTCTCGTTCGATTGACGCTCGGGGCTCCCGAGCCCCGCCCGAACATACCGACAAGTCTGAAATCACGAAACGGACCTACTCGAACCTTCGGAACGCCTGAAATAATGCTAGATCTAAGAATCACCCCATAAAACCAATTGAATCAAACTTATGAACTTCAAGTTCTTAATTTTCCTCTAACGGGCCAAAACGCCCTTACACTACTCGGATTGGCACCAAATTTTACGGACGAGCCTTAAATGATATATCGGACCTATAACGGGCTTCAGAACCATCATACGAGCCCGATACCCATGAAATCAATCATTAATTAGTTTGTTTAAATCCTTAAAACTTCAGATTAACAATTTCTAATAAAAATTTACTACTCGGGCTAGAGACCTCGGAATTCGATTCCGGGCATACGCCAGGTCCCATATTTTCCTACGGATCCTCCGGGACCATCAAATCATGAATTCGGGTCTGTTCGCTCAAAATGTTGACCAAAGTCAAACTTAGTCTTTTTAAGAAAATCCTAAGGAATCGAATGGGCATATTTCACTCCAAACTCTTCCAAATCCCGAACCAACGGTCCCCGCAAGTCGTAAATTAACTAAAGCAAGCGCATAAAGTTTTATTTAAGGGAACGGGGTTTTAAAAGGCAAAACGACCAGTCGGGTCGTTACAGTGAGCCAGTATGTTGACTACCATAAAAGCTCGGGGGTACAGAAAATAGTGAGCCACCATGCTGACTACCATGAAAGCCCAGTGAAGATGATGGTATAGAAGGTATGGGTACAAAGTTAAAAATAGTGTTACTTTGACTTCCTTTGACAGGCATAGAATAATACTGAACTGGATTATTAGATGGAGGGGAGATAGTGAACATGGTAGAAGGCAATGATGTCGACGGAGGAGGATGAGTTAGAGGAGCTAGGACTCATATTTGACATACTTGAGGAAGTTGGAACAAATTGTTTTTTCTTCTTAGATTTTATCTTTTCCTTCCCCTTAGATGCCATATCTGTAATATAATCATAATAAAATACAAAACAAAAAAATATAATAAGTGACAGTAAATATAAAATAATTAAACGACTAAAAAAATAAATAAACAACCTAACAAGTGTACTCCTAGTTTCAAAAATGAAGGTTTACTCCTACTTAATTATAAAGCTTCTAGTTTCAAATATTCATCGACTTTCCATATGATTTTTATGCAAAAATTATTTTGAATGGAAGTCCTAAATTGTTAGGTTGTAAACTAAGATTATTCTTATTTTGTAATGCATATTGTACCTGATTGACTTGTTGGCTGTGAAAATACGCTCTATTTCACCATTGATTTACTTGAAGATAGAGGTGATAAAATCAACCTACTTTAGTAACCAGCCAAATTGTTCTATGTTTAAAGAACTTAAACTAATAATAAAAAAATAATAATAATTAACTTTCACCTTATTCTTCTAAAAGTAAAATAAAAAGAAGTGGATGTTGGGTCATATTAAATCAAACTTGACCCTACCCATCTCTGTCCCTCGGTCGCAAATGATTCGGTCGGAACTTATGTCAAAATAGTCAAACCTCGTTTTAATAAACAATTCCAACCGAATCGGTCGCAATTTTTTATTTTTATTTTTATTTTTTTTAATTGTTTCCGACTGAATTGGTCGCTAACAGTTACACAGTATTTTTCGCCAAAATTTACGACGGATATGAACGGAATATCAGGTGTAATTATTATTAAAAATTGAAAAATATATTTTTATGCAATTTCCGACCGATTCCATCGGAAATTTCCGACTACTTTTTTCGGTCGGAATATTTTGGTCGAAAATTGGCCGTTTTTTAGTAGTGGGGCACGTGAACCCATGGTCTATTCGCAAAATTTATTTTTATGTACATATTTTTTAAAATTGATATAGTACTAACTGTTGGCACCCATGTTCCAAGAAGGTTGAATAGTGTACTTGGTTGAAAGTTGAGTTATTTACCAAGATGAAGAGGGATCAATCCCCATTCAATACTTTTTTTTCTCCTTTTTTAGTAGCGTACCCATTTACTAAAAATTCTAAATCCACTATGCTTGACTAGCAAGTTATAATTTGTGTTTACAAATGCAAAGGTGGATACTTGAATGTGAATAGGACCAAGAAAAACAGACTACGGATTTTCACAAGTACGCTGACTACAATAATAATCTAACATAAATCTACTATTTCTTGATTTATTTACCCAATGGTCATCAGGACATACAGTAATATATACTAGTAATACCTAAAAAATATTATAAATTTTAACAAATAATAAAGGAGCCTTTGGTTGGTTCCAACTGACCCTTCTTTACAAGATTGTAGTTATTTTCTGACATTCTGAGACTAAATAAAATAGATCTGTCCTCAATCCTCACCAAATATTATAGTCCAATATGACTGGTCCTGTGCCTGTTGCTGTTGGACTGAATGATTTAAAGTAAAATCATTTTCAAAGAGAGAATTTACTGATGATGAAAGATTAGACCAATTAGGCAGAAATGGAACATTAATGTTGCTTGCTCCTTCTGATCTTGTTGCTGCAGAAAAATTCATGTTCATGTTCTCATTGTTGTAATTGTGTAAAGAAATTTTGTTAATCCCATAATTTGATGGAGTATCAATGCTAATCAAATTTGGTAATTCAAAATCCCCAATTATCTCCTTTGCTATTGTGCAATTAGTGTCACAATTAGGAGACTCTAGGGATTGTTGGGATGATGATGTTGGCTGTGCTTTCTTCATTGTTGATCTCTTCTGGAAAACCCTACAAACTACCCATTCCTCCTGAAAACAAAAATATGTACAAGAAATAAATTAATGTCTATACAAGCAATTCCAAGAAAACGTGATCATACCTCTATGTCATAAATTATGTTTTCTCTCCAATGGAACTTATTCATTATACTCCTTTGTTTCATTTTGTGTTGCACATACCATCAGACCTCTAAATAACAACATTACTATATAACAATCATTTACTATAAAAGCCAAGCTTTTTATGGAACCAATTTTCATGATATATTATAATATATGTTCTATATAATAGCATTTCGCTATAACAACCAAAAACATTCGTAACAAATGAGGTTATTATAAAGAGGTTTGACTGTACTATTTTTTTTTCTTTCAATTTTTTTTTATAGAAATAATTGTACCTTTTTTATTTAAAAATAATTTAACGTTAAACTTCTCATTTTATCTCTAATGCAAGCTTTTATATATACAGTCAGACCTCTCTATAACAACATCGCTATATAACAGTCATTCACTATAAAAGTCAAGCTTTTTATAGAACTAATTTTCATGATATATTATAATATATGTTCTATACAACAACATCTCGCTATAACAACCAAAGAAATTCGGAACAAATGAGGTTGTTATAGAGATGTTTGACTGTATAGTCATAAGAACATCATGATATGTTTAAAATTACGAGTTCAAAAAATATATAGTTCATTCTTAAACTACGTGTGCGGTTAAATACAATTACAAATGAAACAAAGGGGGTGATTGGATTTAGTTTATAAGGTATATACATGGACAGTGTCACTATCAATATAAAATATGCTATAACAAGTTAGATTTATTATTTTCTAAAAGATTACCAATTAATATAATGTTGATCATCATAAAAACTTACTGGCTAGTAAAATACATTATAAGTAACATGATTGAGTAATTAATTCTCTTTTATATATTCATCGCATGCATAGAACTTAAACTCAATATAGCATTATTTTCCGAAATACCTTTGAAGGTTTGAAGGCAAGATTTGTTTCTAGTCTATATTCATGCATAATCCAGTTGGTTTTTTCACCCTTAGGGGCTCTTCCTCTATAGAAAACCAAAGTTTTTTTCATGCCAATAACCACTCCTCCCTGAAAAATCTCCTTGTCTTTGCCTGTTGTTTTCCAGTAACCTGCTTCTGTTGCTCGGTTTGTGCGAAATCCAGTTGGATATTTCCGATCTCTAAGGCTAAAAAAGTACCATTCTTCTTCTCCCATTGAGGCTTTCCCTGTAGTGTACAATGTGAGTTTTTATTTCGTTAAATATCTATACAGCTGCTATACAAAATACAAAATGGGCCCCTAACGTGTAAATACAAAATTTATGAAAGAAATCAAGTGATTATTCTTTTTTTTTTTTTTAATTTCTCATTAAATATTATCTAAACTTTCCACTTCCTTCCTTGATTTCCACAATATTCAATTTTCTTTTTTAATCTTTCTCGGTTCTCACCAAATCTTACTATTATTATATTTTTTCTTTGTTTTTCATTTTTCGTCTATCAAGCTATAACCAACAAGAAGTATATTGAAAGAACAAATATTTATTTTTATGCCAAGTTAATAAATCAGGTTCATCTATTCCANGTTTTGAATAACCGAATTCATACTTTCTATTTGACATTTTTAAATTTTAATAAATACTAAAAAGATAATATATATATATATATATATATTATCTTTTTAGTATTTATTAAAATTTAAAAATGTCAAATAGAAAGTATGAATTCGGTTATTCAAAACTTAAGAAAAAAAGAAAAGTTAAATTTTTGATACAATCCCCAGAAGAAGAGATGATAGTACTCTAATCAATATACTCAATTTGATAAAAAGACTTGATTATTTTTTAAATATTTCTATTGCTTATAGAATAATGATAACAGTTCCTGTAACGGTAGCTTCTGCCGCCCTCGATCACAAACTACAAATTTGAAAGAAGTTTTTTAAAATTAAAATTAATAAAATCTTACTCAGGATCAACCATGGCGCAAGAGAGATTGGATGGATTAGCTATAATTTTCAATTGAAAAGGAATTATTAGAAGAAATTGATTATAAAATAATTATTTAAAATTTTGCATCTCAAAAAGCTAGAATTAGATTTCAAATAAATAATATATATGAATTTTTATTCTTTAGGGAAAATATTAAAGGCCCCTTATGAAAATTTGGCTTTAAGCCCCCTAATAATATCGAACCGCCGCTGTTGAGTACTTTTTGTCTATGTTATTCGAATTCTTCCAAAAAATTGTGGGCGTGCATATTGGATCTTCTAAAATTATTGTATTTTTTGAGAATCCACACGAATCAATACAGATCGTTGTTGATTTTCGTGAAATTTAAGGGGGAAATTTGGAATAAATAACACATGCTAGAACTGTAATTATAAATGGTGGATTATACAATAATACGATGACTTTCAAAAAGATTTATAAGATTATGTTGGATTATAAGGATTTTCACATTCAAGTTAAATCGCATTTGATGTAAAAATTATGGGACGCGGAAATCGTGTTTCATAATGTGATTAGTGGTGGCAAAATGGTTAAAAGAAAATAGTTATTCATCTATATTATCCATTAAAAAATGGGTCGGATGATGAACTGTATAAAACGGGTCAACGATGGATAAAGAGCCAGATTATCCACTTAGAAAATGAATAATTAATAAGTTTACTTTTACATTCATAAAGCCTGGAATCGGGGTTCTTCAAGTTTAGGAGACTAAGAATTCTCCCAAATGTAATAATATTCAAGAAGTCATGGATAATATTGATATTCATATTATCCACCGGTTAACTCTTTTTTATCCATATTAAATATGGGTCGGATCGGATAATTTATCCGTTCTATGCATTACTCATTCTCGGTCCGCCCATATCCGATCCGACCCGCCCGTTTGCCACCTCTAAATATGGCCTATAAAGTGCATTTTAAGAATGCGACTTATGACGGCGTTTCTTATTTGTTAATACTTATAAATCGCACTGCATGAATGCTGAGTTATGAGTCGAGTTAGACTCTCGCGACGGGGTGGCAAAATGGTTCACTCCTACTCGCGACTTATGTTGCGTTTCATGATCAGTGGCACCGACATCTCTGTAGTTAGGTAATTTTAAAATATATATATATAGACTATATATTGACACCCCTTTAACTTCTTGGTAAATTTATTTTGACTCACTAATAAAAATTCTGGCTCCACCACTTCATTCCATAAGTCAGTTTTCTGTCTGTGGGAATTATTAAGTGCAAGAACATGTTTTCTGATGGAAAAAGTTTAATTAAAGAAGGTGACTTTAGAGATACTTCAAAGATCGATCACAACTCAGTTTCCAATGATTTATTTCGGAACACAATCTGATCAAAGAGCAAAAATTAGAACGATAAGGAAAAAAAGAACATGAAGATTGGGTTGAAGAGGAAGTTAGAGAGAAGCGTGCAAAAGTAGAGCATATGAACCAAAAGATTATAAATTAAGCTATGTACCTGGGAGGTCCCAAGGCTCACAATTATTGAGATCAACATCAGAAAACGCTGTAGCTGTGAATCTGAAATCAGAAACCTTTTTACTGAGATAACAAGTGATGAGTTCTTCATCAGTGGGATGGAATCTGAACCCTGGTGGAAGGTTATTAATTTCCTCCATTAATGCAAATTAGCTTTAATTTGTGAGCCAAATTTAGAAGAAAGTACGAATGCAAAGAAGCTGCCTATTTAATGGCGTTAAGTTAATTTTTTCGTTGTTTCCAATGTGCAATACTTGAGGAAGAAGCAGCCATTTTTGGTCTTTTTTAATCCTCATGATTACAGCTACCATATTGACAAAGATAGTGCCTGGCTAGCTGGAGATTATAGATTTATCCTGACGGCGACGTAAGTTGATTATTATAATGCCACTGCATGCATGACATATATACTGCTCACTTCTTAATTGTTCTCTCTAAACTACCAATAGATTTATGTTTACGATTTAATTTGTATATAGTATTTTTTTAAACTGTTATCATATATAATTTGACTTGTTATAAAGAATAATTTATCTTATTTTTTAGATGTTACTAAATTCATTTTTAATGAATAATTATTTATAAATTTCTTTTTGTAACGACACTATAAAAATTCTTATGTAAGGTAAACTCGTACGTTTATTACATAAGAAAATAATAGCTTTTTACGCTTGTAATATTCCATTAAATAATGGTAAATTACAATACCGGCTACAACTAGTGGCGTAGCTACATAAAGTGAAGGGTGTTCAGTTGAACACTCTTGATACAAAAATTATACTACTAAGTATGTCGAAATCTACACAATAGATATAGGTCAAAATTTGCTTTTTATAAATACATATCTATCACGTTCCGAACCTGGGCCTGAACGTAACACGACACTCGGTGCCTGGCTACATGTGACCGAGCGAACCAACTGGCTGGCTGAATCAACATGTGATATCATAACATACTAAATACGGAAGATAAACTAACACATGCTGATATACTGAAAGTCTGAATGATAAAAATCAAGGTGCGAAAATACTAATACAATTTTGAAACATATTTGTAGTCAACATAGCTTAATATGAAAAGTCTGCAACTCTGTCTAGCTGTTACTCTAGTCTATGAAGTCTCTATTGAAGTACTGAAAATACTGTCTATCTGTAAATACTGAAAGACTGTAAAGTAATGATAATGCCCCGAAAGAACTGAGGAACACCAAATAGCTGGTACGAGAATCCTAGCGCTCTGAACCGTCAACCTGTAAATCATTACCTGCATCGTGAGATATAGGCCCCGGGCAAAAAGGGACGTCGGTACATTTGAATTGCACTGGTATATAAAGTAACTGAAAGAAAGAATTATAAATGCTGAAACTGAAACTAAGCTGATAATTGATAACTGAAATGACAACTATTGAAACTGAAACAGAAATGATAACTAATATTTNATATATATATATGTGTGTGTGTGTGTGTGTGTGTGTGTGTGTGTGTGTGTGTGTACACACACACAACTGCGGTCTTCGGCCCAAGTATACGTATACATAACTGCGGCCTCAGGCCCAAAGATGCATAAAGCATTAACTGCGGCCTCATGCCCAAATACAGGTGTTCGATATTCAGGGATTTAAAATTAGGAATTGAGAATCATACTGCAATACATAATAGTGAAATATTGAATCATGCTAAGTTACATGATACTGGAATACTGGATCACACTAAGTTACATAGTACTGGAATACTGAATCATACTGAGTTACATAATACTGGAATACTGAACCATACTGAGTTACATAATACTGGAACACTGAATAGGACTAGAATGAGACATGTATTCTTGAACTGATTATGAACACTGAAACTTCAACTGTTTATGACATGCTGGGTAAACTATACTGAGACTTAGGGACATCAAACCCAAGTCTATATTGAATACGAACTAAGCTCACAACGTTCAGAATGAAAGTCATGAACGAGTTATGAAGTTAGAGAATAGAAGTTCTGCAACTATTCAAGGAACTAGGCTTAACTATATTTCTGAGGCAATTGATACGTCGTAAAAGAAACGAAGTGTAGGGAGAATCATTAACATTCCCAAACATAGAGAGTTAGCCTCACATACCTCAATTTCACCCCTTAGTGATACTACAATGATCCACAACACTAAGAACCTTCAATCTACAATAGAACATCCAATGGAACCAATATTAGTAATAAATTCCATAACTTAAGTCATTTAGGCATATTATCAAACACTTTGTAGGCATAAATCTCTACATCTCATCACCATATAGTTAGTTCATCTAATTACCACCATTCATCAATAATTTATCCCACCATCATGATTAACCAGTTTATAACTTCCAACATCACATATATGATCATCCATCCACACCCTACCAAGTGCCAACAAAGTTCCATTAAATAAACATCTTTCAATCTCTATAATAGTTGTGTAATTAAATTGGG